TAATTTTACATTTATTATYTAAATTTATTAACATACCTCTTGTRTCAAATGTTTGTTCTTGTTTTCCTGTTTCAACTCCAAACAAATTAATTTTACCAGAATGGCTACCAGAAATAATGTAGTTGTCATCTGGTGAAAATGCAATCGTCCACAATTCAACAGGCCCAATTGAGAATGTTTTTATTTTTTCTCCCGTTGTAGTGTTCCATAACATTAACGTGGAATCTAATGCACTGGATGCAATAATTGATGCATCTGAATTCAGTGCAACAGATATTACACCTAGTGTGTGTTCACTAAGAGTTTTGTCAAGATTGAGATTGGTCGCCTTATCATAACTCCATATTTTCACAGTTTCATCAATGGAACCAGTTACTATACAGTCTGATGAAAGTTCTTGTACTTCTTCGTCAGATTCATCACCTTTATCAAAATCGTCTCGATCTATAGTTTTTATAGTTCGCAATTCACCCCAATCGCATGCCCAAATACTATCGTCGTGAGCATTACTGTGTTTGTACGCTAACGTATGCATGATGTAACTAAAATTACTCACCTGACATTCAATTTACAAACAACTTAAACAATAATTATATGTACAACATTAAGAAACAATTAAACGGTATAAATATTTCTAGAACTTATAAGTACTCGAACCGGTAAATTAAATGTATATTTTGTAAGAATTTTTTATTATTTTTTTATGCTTATTATTGTAAATAATGTAAACATTGTGATTTTTTTTGTTAACAGTGTTTTTCAAATAAAATGTTTTACAACATAACCTAGAATTAATGAACAATGTTGCCAACTGTGTGTTACATTATTATTGTGAGAAATATAAATTGTAAGACGGCGTATTAGCTATGCAATTTAGCTACATGCATGTCCTGGTGCTTAATTTTATTTTTGTTGATGTTTATAATGAAAAATATAAATATATAAACACTGAAATCAAAATTCAGTATAATATAGTATTATAAAAACGGCAAATGCTCCTACATTTCATTCTTCGGATTATAATTAAAAGAGTAGACAATAATTCCAAATTGCTAGTCTTACCACACATATTATTTTTCTATATAGATGTAGCAATAAAATATAAAGAATCGATTAAGGATGTATATAAAAAAAATATAGTTTAACATCATTCAAGATTTATTTTGTCCGATAGAAAAAGCAAACTAGAGTAATAATACTCTATTACAGTAAACACTAATAACCTATACGTTTTTCTTACAAAAAACTCTGTAATATAGTTTAATTTTAAAATAAGATAATAGACGTTCAGCAAAGTAAAATTTATCTATTGGATCAATTGATAGTTGATAGAGATGCAGATTACGCGGGTTTACGTGGGTTTACTTTGAGTCTTGTTTAAGCCTTTTCTGCTAAGGTAGTAATGGTTTATTGATAAAAAGAACATTTATTGTTATAGTCAAAAAATAATAAAGAATTCTTATAATTGCTGTACAAACTAAATGATATGATTTATATACCATGCAGGTGATCTATCGACTATTCGGACTAGTACCTAGTTAGTAGTATCATAATTCATATTAGTTATCACTTCTAAGTATTTAAAATTTAGATGATCAAAGTGTAAAGGTACATAGTTACTGCTTAAAATGTTGGTCTACTAGTCTAATCGTCAAAATTCATCGTGATATAACGATTTAAAATTATGTAAAAGATATATTTTCAAAAACGTCAGTGTTTTCTAAAATAATGAATGCCTAAAGTTAAATGAATCATTCCGTAAAGCTAATATCGTTTTTATTTATAAATAAATGTCTTAGAAATTTAAACGATATTTAATTTGTAATTTAAAGAATGAATATTACAAAGAGAAATAAAATAAAATACATTTTTTTTAAATTATAATAGGAATCATTTTTAACTGAACTCAGACTAATATTTTAGATTCTGAATCAAGCAAAGAATGTGTTAGATTGTATATTTGTTTGTTTTTTATTTGGACACTATTTATTATATCAAAAAAGTTCCAAGTAATAAATTATTACTATCTATTCAAAGTTGAGCTTATAGGTTGAATTTTGAACATTTCAACAATTATAAGGAACATTATCCAATTCGGACGAATGGAAAACTAAATATCGATAATCTTTTAATTCTGAATAGTGTTAAACGCACACCGAGAGTGCAGCGCATAAACGAATCTTAGATTCATATTTTAAGTTCGATGATACATCGTTATTGCTTATAAACTTATAGTAATTAAATAGTAATATACCATAATATATTACTATTTAATACTATTTATTGGTATAATATACCATAATCTTAAGCCAAAGTTACCAAACTTGATGTGTTAACTATTGGATTTTTAGATATTTGTATCATATCTGTATCCTGTACAAATATTCTTTATGGTAAAATTAAAAATTTTAAAAGTGAGTGAGCCAGGCACTAGTATACGATGTAATACATACAAGTATTATATAAGATCTCTTAATTAATTTAAAATTGATTATAATTATTTTAATGGAAAATTGCAAATTTTTAACCATAACTGATGAATTGATTAATCGATAACAACTTACAATATTATATAATCTATATATTTAACATATGCATAAATATATTGGATTTGGATTCGAAACAATTTTATAGGGCAACCATCTTATATTTCATTATTAATATACGTTATCGTATTGAAGTTCTGTCTTTTTAAATTTTAAACATGTTCAAACACTATACTTTAAAATACTTAAATCTTTATAATACCATTGAAGGAGTATTCTGTGATRATACGATTTATTTTTTCAATTGAGAACCACACTTTTTTTAGCTGTAAATATTGAAGTAAGCAAAGAATTTTTTTCTAAATATTGATGCATGATAATGTTAAWAAAAAATTGTAATGCTTCCTATAGTTTTTTCTTAGTTATTAAACTTTATGTTCTGAAACTTAACAAGTACAAGGATAATTAATGGTTTTACATTAAAATATAAAATAGAAGAAATATTAAGTTTAGTACGTTTTTAAGTAAGTATTATTATATTTCGACAAAGGTATTTACAATATTAAAAATATTATATTTTTATATTACAATTAATACCCAGATAGTTAATATTTACAATAAATTATAATGGTAAAATCACCATAGCATCCATAATTCATAGTTTTAAACCTACACCTAATACCTATTACATTGAAGAATTCATCAGTTTTTTATTTTTATTTATAATGTGCATATCATTTTAATATAATTCCCAAGCTACTTGTCCGAATCTTGCTTTATTTATAGCATCAAAAAATAAATAAAACAATATGCTTAATAATTGCGATAAAATTATGCAGGTTCTCATTTGAAAAAATGCATTTTCATTGACACAGAAGTGAAGGATTTATCACAATCCTTAAATTAAATAAATATTATACACTTATTGTACTTAATTTGTATAGATTGTATAATTCAAATAAAAAAAACATATTACGAGAATTTTAAAATATGGTCTTTAAGTAAATATATTTAAAAATTCTAATAATCAGAATTTGAAAAAAAAACATTATTAAAGAAAAAATGGGAGTGAACATGGGGCTTTGTGAGCATATATAATACATACATATGTATATATATATGTATAAGTAATCGAATAAGACCCACTCTGTTTATAATTTGATTACTATTCTCAGGCTCCCGAGTAAATAATAGGTTTTGATTGATCAGAATAAGGATGAATTAAAGAGCTATACAGATATAGAAACTTAAAGTCCTAATTTTAAATATGTAGCTATACAAGACTTGAGAAATTATTTATTACAAAAATTAATCTTCTACTAGTGATCTTTCGGGGTCTTTTTCTATCTCCGAACAATATTATAAGGTTTATTACATAATCATATTACTTAATCACCTAATTACTTACAAGAAAAATATTGTGTAAAGAATAAAAGTAATACATTATAAGGTTAATAGAAAAATTATGAATATTCATGGTTTGTAATCGCAAACTCGGGTTACTCTTCTATAACAATAATATTCTTCTTCTTCTTATTGTGTCCGAGCTATAGTATAGATGCTTTGTTTATCATATTCCTTTTCTACTCCATTGATTGGCTGATTGTATAGCCACGTCAGTTGCTTCCGCCAGATCTTCAGGTGTGCATGACACCGAGTTTAGGGGACATACGAGTATATGTTGTTCCGTTTGTTCACTTCCACATTCGCAATCTGTGGTTTCTGTATTGTATCTCCACTTACATAAATTTTTCTTCGTTCGGGCAACACCCACTGGGTGTCATGGTGAGATCCGGCACGCGGCGTCCACTGCATAGCGATTTAATCCAGATCTGGACATGTCGCTATCTAATCTCACCACCACCGGGCGAATAAAGAATAATATAATTGAAATTATTTAATATATCAAAATAATACGGTTAAAAATTGTTTATAATTTGTATAAAATAATATAATAAATATATATATATATATTTCAAACAATTTTTACTTCCTTTAAGTATAGCTTGTAAATAATTGTGTTAACAGCTATTAATTTATTATTCTGTACCTATACATCCTGCCAAATTGCGCACATTAACCAATTCCAAAATCCTTAAATTAATAATAAATAATAAATAGCAAACGATACGTGTGCACTTATTAATTAAATAAATGCAAATAGAATTATACCTACAAACTTCATATACTCATATTGTTCTATAAGCCTTTCAACAATAATGATCGACAAGAAAAATAATCATTTCATTTTTTATAATWATTTTATAAAAGTACTCACAGTACAGTGAACATGCGTCGTGACAACGACACAACGTGCATATACGTTGTACGTTGTACGTTGTACCTACTTTATGTACATGTGAAATTATGAGGGCGAAAAAAAGTACACGCACACACATCTCGCCGCGTGTAAACACACAAATTCGTTATTATCGAGTTTGTCGTCGGCGCCGAAGTGTGACGTCAGGTCATACTGTTGTGTTTTCATGTGGGTGGATGGGCGGATCGTAGGTTGCCACCTGTTCAAGAGAACAGTATAGTTGCAGCCCGAACGTTCAACCGAGAATTCGCCACTTGTTGGATTTTGCTGTGGATCGTGCAATCGTAATCGCAAGTAAGTCTTAAATTGTTTATTCCATTAAACATATATATTTTTTTACTTTTATTCAATGAATGGACAATTACATAAATATAATATAAGAGTAATAATACAACGGTTTAATTTAAACCGGCTCATTGATGCATTTTAAATGCCTGCAGTAGTATGGCGTGAAAAWCAAAATTGGTACACAATAAGCATAATAAAATAGCAGTCAAGTRAATGATTTTAGTCAAATTTAATTATTTAAAAGCTACAAATAATATTTCTATTATAAAAAAAAAACTAATACAGTTTTTTTTATTAAATGTAATTAGGTACAAAATCGATTATTAAAATAAAGATTTTATTCGAAGCCTTTTCAATGTTTAATGAATAAATACATATTTTTTATTCAATGTAATTATAAAATTGATTTTTAGTATAAATTAAAGATTTTATTTGAAGCCCTTTTAGTGTTTTCTGAATAACTTTTATAAATTAAACTAGTTTTGTACTAATTTAATTTTATATCTTATATGGATTCTTGGAAAATTTAAATATAAAACAAAATTAATGTAATGTCGAAAAAATATGTAGGTATATAATATGTTTAAGAATATCAGAACTCTGAAGCCAAAACTCATTTTCTCTAATTAATTGTTTTTTTTTTAATTTACACGTATCGGCGTCATTGCCATTTTAATAATCGTTAAATTATAAAAATTATTTATAGACATTTTTAGGTACATTTATAAAGTAACTGTTTTCAATTCAAGTCTGAATGATAATAAAATAAAATATAAATTGAGTTTGGAAAATTATCCAATCGTTGTTATGAATAATGTAAATTGTTTTTACTAAACGCTCCATTAATATGTAAAAGTCGTATTAAATGTACCTATTTAAGTTCACAAATGAATAATTTAAATTTATATTATTTTTCTTCATGAGAATTATATTTATGTACTTACCTAATATTTAAAATAAAATAGGTGCATGTACAAAGTGGTTAATGTAAGTTTGACAAGTTATTCTAATATTTAACCTAAATGAGTAAATTGAGTTCTTCTTGTTTAAGTATTAAAAGTAAAATATACATTTAATAGAATTGCTCTGTTCATAAGAATTTACTTTTTTTGAAATAATTGCGTGCTCCTATTTCGTCTAATTTAAATATAATGATAATATTTCTTTTGTATTTGTATTTGGAGTCTAGAGTCAGTTTCTCAGTAATAAAGAAATATTATACGATTTTTTTTTTATGTAGTTCGTATTCTTTCCTTTGACTTCACCAAAATTTTCGTGAAAATCAAATAATTCTGGTCTTTGAAATTAAATATTTTATATTAATTGACTACTCAGAGTTAGACTGTCACGTAGGTATATAATAATGTTAAAAGTTATAAAAAAATATATGCCTAGAGACAGTGGATATTCCATAGCTTAAGCGTGTTGTGTTTCACGTAAATACGTAAAGATACCATTTATAACCCCTGGCCCCAAGGTAGATTAAAGTTACAGTTAATCCTTAGTCAGGCATTGATGTGATCATTTTTACGCTGTCCCGGTACAAGGGAAATATATTTAAATGTTACATTTATAAGATAGGTATATTCTGACATCGCTGAGTCAWATATGAATAAACTATTTATACTATTATTAAAATAAAATAAGCACATTAAAATAGTATATTGTAAATACTGTGTATAGTACTTAATCGGCTTTAATACAAATATATTTGATAAATAGATGTCTTAATCCAAAAATAATAATTACATTAAACTCATCTACGAAGGCATGTATATAGAGAAGCCGAATGACTTTGGTTTAATTAATTCGTTTTATAAACACGTTATTGCAAACTAAACTTAATAATTTCACGTGCAAACTTCCTGCATTTATTAATTATTTTTGATATGAATTTCTGATGTCTTATCCCATATCCCCTGAGGTAAGAGATGTGTTTCTTTACGTGAGAGGAATTGTAAAAAAACAGATTTTTTTATATAAAATAATTTATGTCTGGATAACTGTGCTGCTGTCAGAGCACGAGAATTAATTACATTTTGGTGAGCTTTTAATAATCACTGCAGCTAAATCCAAAACCCTACAGTGTACAACTGAAATGCTCGTCTGATATTTTTTAAATCAAGTTATTTTGGACTTAATTAAATACACCTGCCCAGATGAGGCTGTTTTTAATCTCAACATTTAAATTATTCTCCCCTTTTCGAAGAACCATATAATTTATATTAAACAATTTCCTACTGTATATAGAAAATATGTACAATACTATAATGTAAATATTTTTCGAACTGTTGGAGTAGATATTTTTATCTTTCCTAAAAAGTACATTTTAACGATTTTATCATTAAAGCGTTCAGCATTTCATTGGTTGAATAAACGTTTTCAGCATTAACATATTGTATACATAATATATTTATATTTTTMATTGAAATTTCGTATTGATAATATATTTATTATTGTGATAGTGTGATATTTATACTAGAATATATTGTGACTTTTATTAAAAATAAAAAATAAGACTAGAAAAAATATCACTGCCATGACACATAATATCCGGTCTAAGCTTCTATCCTAATACAAAAAAAACATTTTAAAGAGTCCCATAAAAGTTGTTTTATATTTTTAATGCTGTTTTATATGGCTGAAAAATGTTCAGATTTTCTTATGCTGCAAATTATAATGAAATTATATCACTTAAAGTCTTAAACAAACAATATAGACGTTGTTTATTGTTCCTTTTGTATAAAAAACTAAGCGAATTGAAAATGGAAATGTATCTTTTTACACCATACTTATTGTGTAATAAAATATTGTAATTAATATTGATACATAAAAAAGAAGTGAAATACTATAGAATAACACAGTTTTATAATTTAAAATATAGCATATTATGCTATCCGAAGTGGTATTATTTCAGTACTTAAACACAAATCTATAGGGAAAATGAACAATTACCTACCATCAGTATGTTTGGGGGTTATCTTTAATAACAAGTATATAGGAGTTATAAATCAAATTCAAAATGCTGAATGTGATTATTGATCTAAAAACATCGAATGAATTTCCGACCCCCATGTCCATTGTATACAGTATGTTTAATTAACATTAATCACGTATTATCTATCTCTGAATAAAACTTTAAGTGTTTTTGAAAATATAAAAATTTTAAATAATTTTCATTTATTAAAAAATAACATTTTTTAGAAAAAATTAATTTTTTTACTTTAATAATTGTCGGTTTATTAATAACCTACCATTTTAATTTTATATTTCTAAGATGAATATTCTTATGTGAAATTTCATATATCAAATTTTGAAAAATTAAATAGCTAGTAAAAAGTATTTAAATGGTTTAGTTAAATGGAGTGTAATAGTAGTCCACCGAAAAATAATTAACCGTCGAAAACCAATTTTAATACAAATAATCCCCCAAAAATGTTTAATTTTAAAATGTATTTTGTCAAAAAAATCAAAACTGAAACAATGATAATAATCAATAAAATACTTAAATAACACTTAAGATAAGTAATAATCGAAATTATAAGTTGTATGTAGCTCTGCTTATAAAAAAATGTAATCTAAAAAAAAAAGATTAACAGTTTAATAGCTTATAAAAACAGTTTTAAACATTAAACTATAAAATATTCAATTCAACAAAAAATCATATCCCTCATTGTACTTATATGAAATTACTTAATTAAATTATTTAACCAATTAGTTTTCAAATTGTCTACTTTATATTATTATGTGATTGATGGTATATTATTAAATTAGTTTAACACTTTGTTATACAATATGTGTTATAGAAAGGTAATCTACATATGTTTCATAAAAGGGTTACAAACAAGTCAAAAAGAGAAAAGTGTGATGACTAGCTTTTGTGTACATCATTTTGAAGTACCTATTTCAAAGTAACAGGCAATATTTTTTTTTTGATTTAATATTTATGGCCTGATGTTTTCTTTTTGGTATAAAATAAATTTATAGAACAAATATGAAATATAACTATTATGTTATATTATGAATACAAATTTGAATTTATTTGAATAAACAGTAAAAATGCACTCTAAATAATAACCTTAGAAATTTCACATTCACAGGAAATTTAAATTGATACATTTGACATTTTAAAATAATATAATATAATCAGTTTGATACATTATAAAAGATAGTATATGTAGAATGTTTATAATTAAAAACCATTTTAAATATATAAATATAGTAAATTGGATAGCCTAATACCGCTAGGGAACAACTAATATAACTAAATGAGAGAATTTATCGAACTTCAAAATTGTGATTTGTGCTACCTCACACCTAGTTAATTATATGTATAGGCTATAATACATGCTAGATTGCTAAACATAAAATTAAAAATAAAAGCAACACAATATATATCAACAATATTGTCAGTTTATTTATAAACATTAATGGCAGTATCTATAATAATTTATAAATAATTCCTAAATTAAAGATTTCATATTTATTTTGTTCTAACACTTCTAACTATAGGTAKACAATTATTAATTTGCCACGGAAGTAATGCGAAAGCAGTTCCGACGGTTTCGATCGTTATAAACCTGAAGAAAAAAAATGTAGACAATCAAATTATTTTTAGCAAATATAATTATAAAAAAAATATTCATTTTTAGATAAGTATACAAACTGTCCCTTTTAATATGTTTATACTATACTATAAATGATACTATCAATAATAAATAATAAGAACAGATTTGATTTCCAAACCAAAATTCTATCCATTCATATTAGTCGCTGGCCAAAAATGTTATGAAATTTGGAACTTTAAAGATTTAGAATTTAGATACACGAATTACACTTCTATGTATATATGACATATGTTATAACTTATATAACTTATATGGAGAAAATGCATCACTGGAATAAGAAAGTTGTTACACCATCATTATGTTAAGCTCCGAGTGCTTATGGATTAAAGCATAAGAAAAGCACAACAACCGAGGCTCTTGAGAAATGTTTTATAAGTT